AAAGAGCAGGTTTACAATTTGGTCGCATTGCAATTCTTTTTGCCGGGTTCAAAGTAGGTTCACAACCTACCGCTATTCATGTTTGGATTCTTATTAGATTTAAAATTATAGATTCATATGTCGGGTTGACAAAGGCAATAAGAATAGACAGATCATTGAGAAGAAAATTGTGCAAAAGTGAAGAAATTATGTGTTACAAATTTTGAACACCTGTAATTGTCATGATTTGAAGTTAAAATCAGCTAAGATCAGATATAACACCATATATTTCTTATTGGAAACAACAGTTGATGTTCTCCCACAAGCAACACTGAAGGAAACAAACAAATATCCCAATCAGCAGGTGTCTCTCTGCTCAAAAATAAATCTGCAAGTCTAAACTAAACTCACCACAACATCACACACATCTTCGAGCTTTCTTATAAAACATTCAGAATTCCTTTTTATAGATGGTTTTTACTGCCGCGGTTGGATGTAAGATTGGCTCATATTCTGGTTTTCCGGCTAAGAAAGTGAACAGGACTGCCTAAGAATGTTAAATTGGCAGCGCTGGTGAAAATGTACTTAAAAGGATGGAGGCATCTCAAACCTTATGAAGTAGTATACACTTTCTTGATCAAGACTTCGAACTGAGTCAGTCTACTGTCCAGAATAGAACACGCTGGACTAAGCCTGTCTTGCTTGCTAAATTCAATCACATTTCAATTTGGATTCCAAAGTGGCTTGACCTCAATTATTGATCAATTTTCTTAAATTTGACCATTGTTATCGAAAGCGGCGCTTAGATTTTATTAACTTGGTTACACAAAATAAGTAATGCCCAGTGGCATTACTTGCCATACACATACAAGCATACATATGTACGTATGTATGTATAAGCTTAGGAAACACAAATGTACGTAACAACACGCATCAGAATCAATAAAGAAATATTAAAGTGCACAATTTTGACATAATGGAGCGGAAGGTTGTCGGTATTGAATTCTAATAGAGGCAACATTACACTAATTTCTTTTTGGACGTAACTTACAAAATGTTAATTCCCGATGCACTATTCACAAAGAATATTGTTTGATAATAAGTATCGTTTGTGGAAAAGTATGTTAACGTTTCACAATTCTAAGATAAAAATAACGTAAGACATAGGCGCTTTTGAAACATGGAATGGAACACTGAACGGTTAGGATATATGTGCAGCTGCCTCTAACGCCGCAGTCGCGTCATTTTTATTAGCTCTTTCTTTATTTTCATATGTATATAAATTCACATATATATAAATATTAATTTTGTTTTATCACGCAGCTCCAATCAATGAAATTGACTGAGATGAGTTACTTATACGCATGTTTTTTACGGACAAAATACGTGGTCGTTTCTGAATCAAGACTAAGATACAAAATAGAAAAGGCTACAACATATCTCCGAATGCAGAGCGCTGATGGTGCTGTGAATAAGAAATGCAGTGCCTTGTGATCAGCGATTCTCAACGGTAGCGGGCGGTATGTGGTCAACATAGATATATATGTCAAAATGATAATATCGAGTGGAATGTAGGTTATTTCAGATAGTTTACCGTGCTTTAAGCACTCTCTGGGTGGCGGTAAGGGGCAATAAGAAGGGCATTTTTTCTAAATTTAGTTGTTAGTGCGTATCGTTCGTGCATGCATTTAATATTGGCAATATTTGGCTCGTTACCTGCCCGTATGCGAGTAATATATTATATTCGATCAATGTTCGAATATGATTAATCGATTGCGAGAGAATCAAACTGATAAATGTTTGTACCCAAATAAATAGATATATTTATGGTTGTGGTGTTGCTCAGTCTCTCATATCTTAAAGTGTTTTATAATGGTAAATGTAAATTAACAATAAATCAATAGAGTTCAAATTATAATACAATTAAAATGCTACCGCTCCAATTTACTTTTTATATTTGTTGAAGGTCTTACTGATTCGATACATACAATGTATTTACAAAGTGTTTATTAAACACTGTATACATATAGTTTGTTCAGTAATTGTTTGCAAAATGTAAAACTTCACTTAAATTCATGTGCAAGCTTGTAATTAACTTTTCTGTGTATTTAATTATTATTCTAAGCGGTTTGCGCGTATACAGTTGCGCACAAATAATAGCACCATTACAACACATTTTGTTCTTGACAAAAAAAATGCGGTTACTGTTGCATTATTTTTAAATTTTGATATTTTACTTTTTACAGTATTCTGCATAAACAACAACAATCCTTCAAATTTCTGTCTATATATTTGTTTTTAGGATTTTAAGAAAAGAGTCCCCGAAAATACCGAATAAAATAGCGCCATTAGCCCTTTTTAGTGAATCCCCTGTTTTTCGCGGAATTGCCTTTGTAGATAGCGTGTTTTAATTAGTTTTGAATAAGATTTTATTGTTTCTATCATGGGTCACTGCACTGCTGAGAAGCGCAATCTTATCAAAATATTGATATTGGATATCGGATAAACAATAAAATCTTTTTCTAAAACTAAAACAATTTTTTTTCATTTTGTAATACTCAATATAAAATTTATATTATTGTAATTTCAGTTTCGTCTGCCATATGGAAGCTCAACAAAGATTCTAATAGTGTTGTTGTTTGTAAACATTCTTTGGATAGTTAAGATTTATCCACCGTCTAAATATGACACCAATGAAAGCACGCCACAACCACTAAAACAAAGTGTAGAAAGAATTAAATCACCTGTTAAATTTAAATGTCCTTATCATTCTGATACAGGATCGCAACTGCCCTTGCCGACTGCCAAATCAAATGGCAATGTTACAAAGTTAACCTTTGCAAATATTGATTTTGGTTACGGGCGATGGGACAACCAACACAAGTACAAGATAAAGGATTTTGCTGTTGTCGGTGAACAGTACACAGAATCTTCGAAAAATAGTTTGCTGTGCCTTGCAACTCAAAGTTCCGTGGAGCGGCTATACTCTTTGCCACAGGTTGCAGCAAACTGGCACGGTCCAATATCTGTCGCGTTGTTCTCCGCTGGACACGACGAGTATATTGTTTTATGATATTTCATCACGTATCTGCGCCTCTGCTTTCCGAATATAAAAGCAAACGCCACATTTCATATTTTAACTCCACAGGAATATGAAAATATACCAGGCGGAAGAACCGAATCATTAAATTTAAAACAAACATTTAATTGTCAAAATCCTGACAAAACATTAAGAACTTTATTGAAATTGCGAACAGCAAAAACCATGGAATGGAGAAAAAAAAACATATATCCTCAGAACCACATGCGAAATATAGCTCGAAAGGGATGTCAATCCAAATATGTTTTCTTAACTGACATTGATATAATTCCAAGTATTAATAGTGTTGTACTACTAAACAATTTTTTTAAAACTGTTACTTGTGATGGAAATTGTGCCTATGTTATTCCAACTTTTGAAATTGATGTGCGGGCGCCATTTCCACGGACAAAAGAGAACCTTTTAGGGCTGATCAAAAAAGGACTAGCAAGACCATTCCATGAAAAAGTGTTTATTTACAACCAATATGCGACCAATTTTTCAAAGTAAGTCAAATTTAATAAATCCCTTTCTTGATCGTTTTACTTTAAAAGCAAGCAGGAATTAACCAATATAATTTGTTTTTTTATTTTGTAAGCCGTATACAAAAATCTTTTCCAATAAGCTCTCACTAAAAACACTATTTAAAAATCTAAAAATTTGTTGTGTCCCTTTCAGATGGCTATCATCACATCGAAATGAGACTGTAGTTAGAATAAGCCATACTGTGACAAACTTTGAGTTTTTATATGAGCCATTTTACATAACCATTGATAATGCTCCCATTCACGATGAAAGATTTACTGGCTATGGATTTACTAGAAATTCACAAGTAAGTATAAATGTGCAGTAAGTATGTTTTAATTCGGTTTAATGTGGGGCATTAAATATTTTATGTTCTGAGTATTTTTCGACGAATTCAACCTTCAGATTTTCATTGGACAATATATATTTTTCTTTTCAGGTTTACGAAATGTACGTAGCTGGATTTAAATTTTATGTTCTTTCGCCTGTGTTTACTTGCCACTGGGGCCTACAAAGAAAGCAAGCCCGGCCCGCTTGGAGAGAGCAACAAAATAACGCTAATCGAAAAAAATTTGACATCTTCAAAAGTGAAATATTTGCACGATATAAAAATGATCCTCATATTAAATAAATATTTAAAAACTAGTAAATCACTAGTCAATCTGTTTAATTATTTTTGACATCATACTTACCATTGGATCACATTTGCTGACTTGCGAGTGATTTCAATATAGAGTATAGAAAATGTACTCTTAAAATAATATTCAGTATAATAGGTGAGTATAATAGGGAGCATTATCCTCATAGGGGACACTTATTTTAACGCGTGCAAATGAGTTATTTAAATGCTTTCCTCATTGCCAAAAAGGCTGCTGCTGTAGGCAAATTTGACAAGCGGGACTCGGAGAATAAAGCTTGCGAGTGCGCGCAATTATGCCAGCTAAAGATTATCGTTTCTAAGATTGACAATAATTCTGAGGGCCTAAAGATTACGCTCGTCCATGTTAGCCACCTGGCTGACCAAAGTTCAACCGGACCATGAAATGAAGGAGTGCATACTACGCGATTATAAATGTAAAGGTAACGACATTTCTCCGCGGTTCTACAAACGACATATCTCCGCGCGAAGGTATTTCGGTTTGAAACGTAATAATTTCGAGATATCTCGGCGGAGCTATGCCACAGTAAATCAGGATTTCTTACACATGATCAACGAAGCAAGGGTTTAGAAATAAGAGACCGCTGATATCAAGAATAGTTACGACTAGAAAGGTTTAGGTCAAGTGATCGAGGATGTATAAAAATCTATTTTAAATGTACCTTATTTTTTAGTCATATGCTTTGCTTATGCTTTTTTGTAAAAAAAAACGTCTAAGCGTATATGTATTATTGTGTTACAAATAATCATTTTGATTGATCGACTAATATTTAGTTTAATGCAAAGCATTTTATTGTTCGTTTACATGTATGTATATATATACTTATGCTTATATATTTGTGTATATAATATCTATATATAATATATATATATATATGTGTATATATTTTGGTGTATAATTATAAACGTAAAAACATATTTTTTAAAATTACACAAATCTTAAATATTTCTCACATTCTATAGCTCACATTTTGTATAAACTTGAAAACTCATATCTGTTAGTATTAAATTCTAGATGACTACCAGTTGGCTGAGGCGGCACGTCCTCAAAAGTATATGCCAGTAGAGCTCCGTTATTTTCATGTACTGAGTAGTTGAGATCATTATGTGCTCCAATTAAATTACCGCTGTAGTCCTGGGTAGAATATGAACATGGATTTGCAATACCTTCAGATTCCACCAAACGGTTGTCTATACTGCTACTACAAAATCCAATATGTGGCGAATGTGTAGAAGTTAGAATACTACAGTCGCTGTCTTCGGTTGCCGATGGAATTGGGTTGAACTCTTCATTTTGGAATGTTTGCCCTCCATAAGTTAGAGAACTATTATGTATTTCAATGTTCATTGTAACAGTTTGGGGCTGTATTGAAAAGGACGGCTGTTGGGATATGCTTTCCAAACCACAGTCTTCAGCGAAACACTCGTGCGTATCTGGCACATTGGAAAGGAAATGATGGCTGGCTGAATGCAAATTTGCATCATTTACAATGTTTTCCTCAGAATCAAATACAGGTTCATCAACGTTTTGGCAATCATCAAAATTTGACTGAGTTCTTATTATATTTAAGACCTGTTGGCTAGCACCTTGACTATTAGACGGTAAGTTCACTTCTAGCGATTGGTCTTCAGTTTTCGGTGAATTGTCGAAAAATTGAAAATATTTAAGAACAACTTCTGACATATTCTCTTGTGTATTAACGAGGTTTATATCCGATATATTTTCCAGTTTAACTGTGCTGTCTTCAGAATTATGCAGCTGCATCGCACCGCAATCAATTCTATTTTTTGTATGTACAAACTCGGATGACTGGAGATTTATATAATTCTCTTCTGGTGGGATTCCAACATCGAATGAATCGGAGGGGGTATTTTTATCGTATTTATTTTTTATTTTATCACCTGAATCGCTTTTCAGCCGTTTCGACAGTGTACCAGATTGACAAGTAGAGGTAGATCTTTTATTTTTTCGACCGGCAGTGTATGTTCCGTTAATTGCAACAGGTGTTGTTATATTGTGGAAATCTTGCTTAATATCGATATCTACATCCTGATTTTGCTTTAAAACAACCGACAGTCTCGATTGTTTCTTTTGGGGCCTATATTTATAATTTGGATATTCTATCATATGAAGTTTTCTCAGCTTTTCGGCTTCAATAATGTAAGGCTGCTTATCATCTTTGGCCAAAAGCTGCCATCGTCTTCCTAATTCCTTTGATATTTCCGCATTATGTAAATCTGGTGTTTTTTCGCAGATTTTTCGTCGCTCCATTTGACTCCACACCATGAATGCATTCATGGGTCTTTTTATATGGCCCGGAGAGTGTTTCTTTGTCTAAAAGATAAGAATAAAAAGTGAAGTTTTGTAATAAAATGTCGGCTGAAGATATTTTGGAGTATAAGTCAGTTGTAATGCAAAATTCTTTGCTTAACTCTGGATATTGTAGCAAAGTTAACTCTCTTTTTATGTATTGAAAAGTTGACATTTAGCTTCGCATTTGAATTTTTAATTTGTTTACCTAAAAGTGTTGTGATCCGGGAAATTTTCCATAAAATATTAATAAAAAAACTGAGATTCACGCTATTTTTAATCCTTATAGTAATAAAATGAGTTAATATTTCAATAATCTTCATCAAGTTGTATATCGTTACAAGAAAATTATTTTTATAGTACAACTTTATCAAAACTATCTTCTATCTTTGTAAGTGGAACTTATCTGTCAATAATTTTTTATTAATTTAACGATTATCTAGCAGTAGTCGCCATATTTAGTCAGACTTACAATTATTTTTTGCGTATTAACTTATCTACCTGAGATTAAATTTTTTCATTAGAGTGCGAAATTCTATATTTCGTCAATCAGTCTCAGCTTTTGCTTATAACCCTTATTTGTTAAAATTATTTCTGGTTCTAGTCAAAAAATGTCATTATATTCTGCACATAGTTTATTTAGTAAATTGTTGGAGGAACTTTTTATTTCATTTAGCCAAAAACTTGTACATGTATGTATGTATATGAATATGCATATGTATATGTATATGCATATGTATATGCATATGTATATGTATATGTACATGCATATGTACATGTATATGTATATGTATATGTACATGCATATGCATAAGTATATGTATATCTTTATGTGCATGTATATGATGTATGTATGTGATGTATGTATGTGATGATGATAATGTTTCGTTAACATATGAATGTACATATAGTTCACCAAGTGGCGCATTGAAGATAAAATAACTGATGTGAATAACCGTTTTATTAGACTCACAAAAAAAGCACTAGGAATAGCGTTAACTTCGACCTTGAAGTAAGTTCGTCAACCCCAAGTTCAACCAACCAATATAGCTAGTAGCAACGACCGAGCAGAAGAAAAAAAACATCAGTTTGGTTGTGTTAGCTTAAACGAATGGGATATACAGCGATGATGAGGTGAAACCAGACGAATGCTACAACGGCCATTGACATTACGTGCCCTTGATAATATGTAATGTGTATGTAATATGCTAAAGCAAAATGTAAGGATATAATTATGTGCATAGACATATACTATATGTATGGTTATGTTTATTGGTTTAAGAACTTCTTGCCAAGGGTTCTGAAAAAAAATTAAATCAAAATTGCAAATTGCAAAATTCAATTGAGATTCGAAATTTAAACATTGTTTTGTGAAATTATACATCTATCTGATTATTAACATTATTATATTATAAATTTTGGGTTTACATTTTTAAAAATCTATTGTAACTATAAAAATATTTATAAAAATTAAGAGGTTCTCCCTACGAGTTGCCGACTAAATGCGACTCGAACCCATAAAAATTCCTTTTCGATAAAAACAAACGAATTCAAAAAGCACAGTAAATAATAAAATCGCAATTGCAATGCTGTTTATAGAATTTAATAGATACGCATGATTGTATATGTGAACATGTATACAGAAATTCTTGCAATTTGCGCTAGCTGCAGAATAGCTGTAAAATTAAAGATACCTAATCTAAATATACTATTTTAGGAGCGACATGACTGTGTTGATGACTCTAAGGATTTCGATATAAATTCTTATCGATTGCTTGGAAGCGCAACAAATTATCGATCTCGTAAAATGTAAACAAATATTCAAATTAAAATTGTATAAATTAGTTTTTAATAATTAGTAGTTAATAATTGGAATCTAACTTTGTAGAGACAGAGGGAAGAATGTGGCTAGATATACTGTTTGTGCTCATCAGGAGTCTGAAGCTCGTTGTATAAGCTTTTCAATTACACTAAACCCATAATAAATCAATCAATATGTGTAAAGTGCATAAAAAACAGTCTGGTTTTTATTTTTTTGATTAAAAGCTTTGTGTATATGTAAGCCCGCGTAGATTAAAATCTTTTTAAGAAATCACAAAACATTATCTCAGGTGCTAGAGTAGAGATTAATAAAGATAAGATATTGAAGAAAGTTGTTTCCGTCATTCATAGATTTCGCAAGGTATGAAGTATACCATGTATATGCATATGCATATAAATAAGAAAGTAAGTTGCAGTACTTAGGGATCTCCTACTTTGTCACTGATCGCGAAACGCCACCCACCAAATCTATGACATCCATTTCCAGGTGGAATGCATTTTTCAAAAAGTGTGAAACATTCCTCAAATGAATTTGAAAAAGATCTCTGAAAATGACAACCGTTTCCGCCAATTTACCACTGTTTGTGGTGGAATTGCCAAACTCAGCGAAACACGTATTCACGTATTCTTAGGTAGGGCTATAATTTGAACTAAACTTAAGACTTCGCTTTAAAAAAAACATTAATTCGCATTTTTGACTGAAGAAGTGTGAAGCACGTCTAGAATACATTTTTAGTAAAGATGCTGTTTCGTACAACCGATTGCCCAAAATATTCGTGTGGAACTTGCTAAGAACCCGTCTTAGAGTGCACCTGCATCCAATTGTTATCTAAAATTAATCAGACAATATCAATATGCAAGTACATAAGTATAGGTATAAGTTTGCATGTGTCTGCATAAAATATGTTATCGGTAATACATTTCATTGACCTTTTCAATCCACATGACTTTCGTTCTTCGCCTACGAAATCCATGAATGATAGACTCTCACGCATAAATATGTATGTATGTATATGTATTGAAGTATTGAAGAATGCAGACATATGACTTCTAGTACATACATAGATCTACTAATTCTGATTGAAAATGGGGAGCTTATGTATAAAGAGTGTTATAAATCGTTCAGATAATTAATTTTTAAATATAACAAATATTTGTATATGACTAGAATATAAATATTAAAGTGTGTTTATACATAAATAACTAAAAGCGTATCTATGTAGTCGAAATTTAATATTTTTTGACGAATAACAAACAGAAAGATAGGAAAGGTAAGTATAAGACTTAAGCCAATATCCAAGGCATTAGGAAACGCTTTTCAAATAACGACAATTTATTTTTACATACCTATAAATTAATACGAATATAAAATATACTTACTTGAGTTGCATCTGAATATGGAGTACTGGAGTTAACTGGAACGAGTGCAGATCCAAAAACCAAATCCGAATTATCATTTTCTCTTTCTAGTCTTTGCATACTTTCTGTTGGAGATCTTTTGCTTTTGCTGCTATTTGCATATTTCTCCATTTTAGTTCTGGTGGAGGCAGAGGGTGGCACCAATGTTTTTTTTTTTTTTTTTTTTTTTTTTTTAATAATTAACTTGTACGCCTTTTTTATTTTAAAAGTTTAAAATGTGTTGTATAACGACGTTAGTTAGTGCATGAGTGATTATTTGAGTGGAGTTGGCTTGTTACTGTAATCCAGATCTTTGCAGTATTAATAGTGGTTTATCCCTGAGTAGACTGGCCAATTATTTGTATTTCATTACATAAAAATAAAAAATATACGTATTTATACACATATGCACGCATATATTTACATATATGTAAATCTATGTATATCTATGTATGCATGTCTGTGTGCATTTGCATGTGATTCATTTGTACTTCTTATTTGGTTTATTTGATTAATATGGTGCTACATACATATGTATGTATGTAAATGCATACAAATAATATGTACAAGTATGTGTGTACGAATGTACGCATATATAAACATACATATACAAACAATTAATATAAGTTGATCATTTTATTTATACTCTCAAATGTATTTGTATACACACATATGTACATGAGTGTGCATATAAGAAAATAATATACATATATATAAATACATATACATATATGTATGTACATATATTATAATTATTTCTCGATATGCATATGCATGTAAGTATGTGAATATGCTTGTTATTCCTTATGTTTTGGACGCTTCTTGTATATATACACACATATACGGTATATATCTTGTGTATGCATGCACATACATACGTACGTATACAGTATAATCAAGGTGAAACTGGTTCCTAGTTTTGTGTTCGCTACATTCAAAGACGCACGTTCATGTTTTTTCTGTAGTAATGAGTGTATTTTTTTCCATGTATGTATATACACACATACGAATGCACACACATATGTAGCGTGCGTAAATACATGCTTAAAACTTTGTATACTGTTGCGGAAACACAATAAATATTCACAGATGCACAATCTTACACATGCACATGTATGTATGTATGTATATATGTATACAAATTTTCAAACATTTATTCATGCACACTACATATGTACATATATATGTATATACATGTAAAAAAAAATAAACTTATTGCCACAGTCAAAACATGAAAGTGCGTCTTATATTTATATTTAAATTTTAAATCGCTTATTCCGAAACAAAACAGTAAAACAGATGAAAAACCCTGAAAATGTATTGTATATATATTTGTACGTATACGTGTGTTTATTATTTCATGCATGTTTTTTTATATTTTATTTCTTCCGTAAAAAGAGTACAATGTATGTGTGTATTCTTAAATGTTCACTGTGCATTAAAAGACACTCAGAACCATAATGAAAATGCACGTCAATTATAATATATGTACATATGTACATATAATATTGAAAGGTTTATTCACTTCAAACTTCACAAACACACTATGTATTCATATGCAAATGTACATACTTCTTGCTTAACACTTGTTGCTTAATTAGTTACATTTAATGTACGTTATTTATAATTTAATGGCAATTTGGTTTTAGTTTGGATCTTTATCATTTGCCATATATATATATATATATATATATTTACCGAGATTACGACGGAGCAGAACACATATTGCGACCGACTGCTCCGCGGCAAACTCGGAGCATTCTGGCTTAATTCAATCTAAGCGCCAAGAGCCAGTACGAGCACAATCGCAAAGCAGCAGACACGACGAGCACGAAACGATTGAGATACGAGTTGAATGTGACGAGAAACTACATTCATACGTACGTATACATTCGTACAAATATCTGTTATACATAAGCACGTAAATAAATACATACATATGAATACACTACGCAAATTACTTTAGGTTGTTATTTTTATCGCTCTTTATACACACACACACACACACACACACAGAAACGAAGTGTTATATTTATGTATATATGTACATACACACGTACACACGTATATTTCATTTTTGTTACTCGATAATTTTATTTTATTTTACTGTCTTGTTAATATATGTATAAATATATATGATTTAGTATAAGAACATACATATATTATCGTACATTTTTTTTTTTGAGCTTTTTCGTTCTTTATTTTAAACCGATGAGGTCGTTGTCGATCGCTTACAGCTGTTTAAGTGAACTGGCTTGCAAAATGTATGCTTGAATCCCTGCACACATCCCACATATGTATACATATATACATATACATATATATATATAGATATATATTTATATGTACATACATATATACATATACATATATATATATAGATATATATTTATATGTACATATGTACATACTGCCATGTACATTAATGCATTTCGTGCGCTTGCATATTCGAAACAGAGAGCCAAGAGACTAACTGCGTGTGTTTTTTTCTCTAACTAAACTGACCAGTGGCGCACTGCGGTGACTAAGTGGCCCATAAATCAAGTCGATATTCTGAAAATCTCACTGACCGATTTGTTGAGCACAAAGTAATATACCAATTGATGTAAATAAATATATGGAGAAGGGCCACGAAAATCTCAATTAATTGCTTGGTAAAATTAAATATTCGAAATATTGCTAATTATTATTTTCAAATATTCAGTGAGCTATATTATTTTTCAAATCAAATTACGTGTTTTTCTAAACTTTTAAATAACAATAAACAATTGATAGAATGTAACCATTTTTAATTTTCACTTTGTAGTAATCCCGATATAGACTATTGATGTTACTTTAACTCTAAAATACTAAATTCAATGCAACATTGAATACTGATAATTGATATTGTGATAATAAACAAATTTGGTTTAATATTTAATGTACATTGCAGATGTCGGTGATAATCTGAATGCGGCCCTGGTATTTTTTATTGATATCAACAGTTTTAGTAATTGTTGTCTGTGTGTGTGAGAGGCAGAGCGAATGTCCATATGCTGAGAGTCTTTATAAATACATACATACACACATCAATGTATGCTTATATACACAAGTATTATATACGAATGAATCAGCTGTTCAATGCGTATTAATCATATGTTTATATGAAGTGTCTTTGACTGAATGTGTATAAATGTATATATGTACATACAAATGTACATGTATGTATGTGTGTATACAATCGTGAATGCACATCCCAGTCGCACTGGGCTGGTATTTCGAATTACTTCTCGTAAAGTGAATTTTAAAAACAGAATTAGTTAGAATGTTATTTTAATAAATGTTTTATGCTTCCGTAGATTTTTAAAGCAATTAATTATAACAATCAAATTTATATTCATTTTTGCAATGGGGATGCCAAACATGCTTCTTAAAACATACCGTTCATAAGAAAAACTAAGTAAACAATTAAATGTAATTAACTCTAACAAATAATTTACTCTTATTGCATGGCTTTAAATGTAAGGGAATTTTTAACTGTGCTACTCTTTATATCGTCCAGTCTCATCCCTAGCCCTCAGTCTGCACAATCGATATTTAACACTACACTATAGCCAAACGAACTACAAAAAGGAACAACATTCAACAGCTGGAACTGCGATTAAATGAACAATATTATCAGTTGGAACTACAAAAAATTGAGAACAACAAATGTGAAACTCTTATACAAAACAGCAAAAGAAACTATTTATCCACTTGATTCTTTCAGATCGGGTCCCGGTTCCGAACCAAAGTGTAACCGCCCTTTAGAGTGAGAGAGAGAGAGAGAGAGAGAGAGAGAGAGAGAGGAGGAGAGCGAATCGAATGCCCTTTGTAAAAGCTTTGATGCTCAAAGCAGCTGCGCATATGTGCAACAGCGGCGACCACAACTTTCAGTGTATGCTTGCGCCAAATATTCGGCACCGATCACGTTGGTGCCTAGATGTTCAGTGAACAGAGATTTCGACTTTGTCAGCGGTCAACTGCAGGCACAAACGCACCTTGTTGAAAAATTTGAAGAAAAAGGAAAGGAAAAACTTTGCCTACACTTACTGCTTAGTGAGAAAAAAATGTAATAAATTATAAATAATTATTGGATCATGCTGAATTCAATAAATTAATTGTGCATAATACTTGATGCATAATTACTGTTCAGGAAGCTACAAATCAAGTTTGGTGACTCTAGCTCTTATAAATTACGAGATTTGCTCAAAAACAGGATTGCGATATCGATTTTGATCGATCGCATGAAAATTTGAAAAGTTATCGATTATCGGAAACAAACTCGTACTGCTCATATACTAGGAGGCCTGTCTTATTACTCGCCAGCCTTTGTCGACAAAACGGTAAAATCTTTGTTGAAAAACGGCATCATTCGCCTACCTTAGTCTCCGTGCAACCATCCGAACTGGCTAGTAAGTAAGAAAGGTTTTTTTTTATTATGCTCTGCATTAGCTTTCACTTTAAAGTCTTAAATTTCTTTTGGCCTTTTAATTTAACACATTTATCGACGTTGTCCCGATAGCCCGACCACAACAAAAAAATTATCGATCTACCATACAAGATATATAAAAAATAATATATATATTACTAAAAAACGAATTGTTATATTGGTAATCCACGTAGCATCAAGAGGAAAACGCAAGCATTTCTGCACACAAATATGCATTAAATGTATTTGGCAATGGCAAACGCACCCGTTGGAATAAATATTAAAAAAATTAAATATATATATAATTATTATTCTTTTACTAATTAAAAAAAGATCTCGTTTTTAAAACGGACGCTATCTTCATTTGATTAAAACATCGATTAACATCACCTGTCCAGGACTTGCGAATGGGTAAAGCGGTATGCGGCTGATGGGATTTCCTATGTTTCACACAATTCCACAATGTTCGCGTCTTGCCGATGTTCCTTAGAACATCGGAAAACATCGAATAATCGATAAGAAAACATTGAAGCAGTTTAAAAGAATCGATTTTTTGTATAAACTTAAAACATGTAAACACACTTCTTAAATATAAGTTCATAAAGTGCAGAGTGTTAAAATTAATAGATTGCAGAATGAACTGCAATCATTTCATTGAAGTTCCCCTGCGTTCTAGCGGAGGAAAGAAAATGAAGAAACGGAAAGAACTCGACGCACTTATAGCACACTCCCTCACAAAGAGGGGCTACCACCGCACCGTAAACTCACAGGATAAGTTACTGTCAGTATCCACCGATGACCCTGATGACTTAGCATGGGTAATAAATTAACCTTGATAAACTCGTTCAACTTATAATCTAATTCATACTTGTGTATGGCTCATATATGTATATATGTACAATTCCATGTGCATACATACATATGTCATGTGTTTTCGTTCTGATTTAGATGAGCGCTCCCGATATCCGTCGAAATCATAAGAGGCAAATCTATATCCGTAAGTGCGGGCCAGTTCTTTTCGGGATAATTATCGTTTTTGTTCTGGCTCTTTTATACTGGGCGTACTTTGATTTACGTAAACAGATTTCCGATTATCAACAAAAGTTTGAAGAAGGTAAATATTCATTTCTATGCATAAACAGTTGGCCCAAGAATAATGCGTATCAAATATGTACATGGGAACAAATTCCCATTCTAATGGCCACCACGCGTCTGTATACTCTTCGATTGTTTTACGTCTTCAAAAATAGTTCGAATTAATTATTTTAGTTTTTCTTTCTGAATAATATTAAATTCAATAATCTCTATATATAAAACTGTTTGTCCTGCTGAGCGACTGACTAATTGGTCAACGCACAGCGCAAACCGTTAGAGCAACAAAGCTGTACCGTCGTTACCATTTGTGGTAAGGGTGGATTTTGGAAATTCCACCAGAAGTATGGTTGCATGAATCATCTTTATACCCTCAGATAGGGTGGAATGAAAATGACAAAGTACGAGGCCCAAAAATACATTTTTCATATGCTTCTACACTTTTTCATACAAATCTTCACAAATATAAATCAGTAGTCCGATGTCCAGAGCAATAGCTTATGATACTGATACTCTAGGGATAGTAAAGATATTTTGATATTGTAGACCTACCAATTTTTTACAAGCAAAGTGCAAATTATAATTGCTATACTTAGTAAAGGTTTAAAAAGGGTTTACAATACAATATTTCGATTAATCCATTGTGCGTATTATAGCTATATTGTACCTGTTTATCAGGATATATACCACTCATCGCCACTTGGATAGGACACTTTTAAGCATATTTTCGGTAGTCCACTACTCCCAAACGAAGCATGCCATAGACCATAGTTTTTATACCTTCATTACTTCATTATTTTCACACATCTGCAAAAGGCAAAGGTACAAAATCTCTGGGGTTCCAAAGACGTCCTTAACTTATCATTTTTAAAATCCTGCAAAATACAGAGTCCTAAATTTGTGCCACAAACGTGAACCTTAACGTTAAAAACACCCTTCTCTTTGACGCAAACAGATTTTGTTTAATTAATATACAGGTAACATTATTCAAACATAATGTACATTTTTTGGCCGACTGTAATCCAAATGTTAGTCGATTTAATATTAAATATGCAATTTTTAATAGTCTCTGCAGTGAGTAAAGTTTTTCCGGATACTCTTCAACATTGGCATGAAACCACAGCATCGTTTATAAAAAATCAATCTTTGGTTGTATACCAATTAAATGACTTAACTCAAAATGTAGAGCTTTTGGGAAGTAATTTAAGCAGCCTGCAAGCAACAGTAAATTCACAAAGAATTTACGGTCAAGATGAGAAGATAGTCGCTGACTTTGGGGCTAAATTAGAGGCAGTTGTTGCTGATATAGATGTAATGAAGGAACATTACAAAAGGGTCGTCGAAGTGCAGAAAAGCTTTGAGTTTGATATGGATAATTTAAAGGAAAGTAAACAAGTATATGCTTATACATCTGTTATTTTAATGGACTTATCAATTTTCAGGCCAATATAAGTCGATTGTCCACCGTTCAAAATTGTTCTTCACCAACAAATTATACAAAGGATGTTAAATTGATTGAAAAAACGTTGGAAAATGATTTAAAAAATGTGGATGACAAAATTATGTATGTTAACAACACTCTACGGCAGACAATAAAAATTCTACATGAAGAGATAATGGCCCACAAAGTAAGTAAATTTTGTTTCGTTTGTTGGAATTCAATATAAATTAATCTTTTATTTAGATAAAGTTGGAGGACTTATTAGACCGCTTTCAAAACATATCAACCCATGTTACCACATTAAGCAATAATTGGTGGCAATTTAAGCAAAAAAATGTCAATGCGGATGAACAGTTGAGCAAATTGAATGAAAAGGTAATGACATCGTTTTTTTAAAGGAGATAAAATCTCCTGCTATTCTCCCCTAAGTGGTTTGTAAAGATTGGCTTAGTACTGTTTTATAAATGAGACCCTTAAACTCCAGACTTAATAGATATCATACGTAAGCTTGTGGGGTCCATTAGCCTCCTCGGGGACCTTTGGTAGATAGCGGAAGCTAATTCGGCGGAAATTGTATATGCGGGCCCACATGCAGTCTGTGCGAAACGGAGGCGCAATAGGGACCCTTCCCCTTCGTCGTCTGCCACTAGCTAATAAGTCGCCGTGTGTTTCGATCCCGGCTAGTCGTCTTCCTCGACGGGGTTATGGTGTGTGCTCGCACCGCTCGATTGTCTCGGACTTTCCTCCTCATCCACTGGATAGCCCAACTCAGCGGCTGCCGCTGATGTCGCTAACATCCTATGAAATCCACTCGACCTATGTAAGCTACGGTTATGGTAGGCGACGTGTGTCACCCATTCCAATGGCAACAGTGAATAAGTCATATTTTCTCGCTTTAGGGGTCTAGCCTCAGACTTACTAGGTATTAGAAAGTTAACCAAGGCAAGAAATTGGTCTTAAATGGGTTTTTTTTCCAGCACAGCAAATAATTTAAATGCAAGAAAATTAAAAAGAAGAAAATTAATATGATAATCCCGTTTAACAGGAGCCTCCACAGCATAATTCGGAGCCACTGTAACAATTGCACCAATATTAACTACAACAGCAAAGGCAACGCTGACAGCTGCAGACCAAGCAAACCGACACCAGACGTCCCGACATTTCCACCAACGGCATCGCCTACGGAAAAATTATGTAGGGCATTCACAGCAGCAGCTACGAATACAGTACCTGAATATGCAAAAAACCTTCTTTTGTTACGCGGATGACACCATCCTTACCAAAGCAGGCACATAGAAGTAGGGTGCTACACTTACACACAAGGTTTTGGATCGTTATTGGTATTGGGCCAATCCATCTGCATTAACAGCGAAAAGACTCAGCATTTCATGCTAGCGCTCAAGCAAACAAATTGTAAAGATATCTAGCTCAACAACGTGGCCATGCTTAAAGAGAACCATATTCGCTACGGACAACTGGACGAATTACTTGACTTAAATACAGCGTTGTATTGGCACCAGCGTATACGATAGAAAAAATACAACTGTATTGAAATGTAACTGGTCAAAATATATTGTAAACTATGTAAATAATTTGTAGATTTAGCTCTCTGACACTTAAGCCACACAGACTCCAACAGATCTGGCACCATTGTAGTAAAATATTTTCATCCAAACTTTTAACTTTTCCAAAGCCACGATATAGTATATCATTTCGACTTTCCAAATAATATTTATATTGTTATATAATTTTTAATTTTGTTGGCGTTTACTTTTTAGGTCGTAAGTCTACTATTATGTTTTTTTATTTTTAAACGTTTATTTGTCTGCTAATAAATATTTATAATAAAATAGTTAAAAAAATGCTTTTTTTTGCGTTGATCTAAACTTAGGGTGGTACCGTCCACTTATCAAGCTCCTAATCTAACTGTTCTTCGACAATTGCGTATAAAAATTGGCATATACAACAAAAAATTGTGGTAAGATATCTAAATTATAACGATTTTGAAAACGTTTTTCAAACTGGGCTCAGTTTCGGGTACAAATTGAAAGGATCTTTATAAAAATATAAAACATGTTTCCGCTTTTCGCGCTTTGAAGAGAAATTAGAGCGAATTCCATAATAATATTTGATACTGTATTTATTAATGTATTTTATGAATAAAAAAGCCAAACCTTACTACTAATTTAAATATTAGCATATGGATGAAACATTTATGTTAATGTTTCTCCTTGGGTAACGCAAGCTTCCAAGTAGTCTATACGGCGTTCTAATATCGTAAGTTTTTCATTGAGTACCGCAAGTCTGGATCGACAGGACATATCTGAAAAAAATTGTTTTTTTAGAAAAAGCCTTTATATATTTTTACAGTATTACTTTACGTTTTGTTATTACGATAAATTAATTAAAATAGCTCAATAAAGCAAGCTGCTTTGGCACAACATTTCCGTTTATCTTCTTCTTTTTCTTTGTCTTTAAACTTTTGCACGTATGTATGTCGAAACAGGCTGGATCGGAGCTATATATCATATCTTGCATGGAAAACATTTCTGCTTATCAAGATATCTTTACCGAACTCGGCATTTAAACTTTGCTGCTTATTTCGCAATTATTTGCTGCTTAAGATCGCAATACTTTATTATATATAATATGGGAAGAACCAGTTGAAAAGTTGGTTTTTGCATGGCACATTATTGTATTTACACTTCTGAGCTTCATTGTTCGTACATATCCGCAAAATAATAAAGCAAGAGTATTTTACCTTGGGCGTGTCGAAGAAATCCCTACTTTGTTTTTTTGACAAAAGAGATGATTATTTTCAATAAGTAGGTCTGCCTTTAAATTATTTGATGACTTGAATAGTTAAGCGACATTATGGGTCTTAAATTGTGTATAAAATCTGCACAAAATTTGTTGTCGCCATGGTTTATTAAGTTGTTACATGCGTGAAGAAACTATGTAAGATAATAAATAGGCCATTTGCAATTTCTAAAGTAAATACAGGCTGGCCTAAATATGTATCTTGTATATTGTTTTATTACACTGATCAGAACTACAGGTGTTAGGTGACGAAAAATATTATGAGAGCTTACCAAACGAATTCAAAAAATCCGTGATCCGTTTTATGCTTGCTGTAATAACTTCAATATACTCTCGATTTGCCCAATCCTGGTGAATTTGCTTTTGAACTGTTTCTCTATGAGCTCCGCTCATTTTAAATCTTTCGTGATTTCTTATGTTATGTTGTTTTGCTTATACTATTAGAACAAAATAATGTGTGTCCATCTTTATCCAATATTAGAGATGAGTTGAGGCTGCTAAATTTTTGAGACAGTGGAATGGAACAAAAAGATTGCAGCAGAAACATCAATATTCTACCATGCCTACCTTTAATCGTAATTATATCTTATTGATTTAAACTTATCTAAGAAAAATTACTTTTCTGGGTAAATATCGACACCATTGGCACGGATTTTAAGCGTTCGCATTAAACAATTAATATGCTACGGTTGCGTCTACTACCGCATAAAAAATCAATGGACATTCTAGTGACGATATGGTGTACCCATCCATTAGGAATTAGATATTTTGCGAAACAAACAATTTATTACATTGAATATGGTTGCTGTTTTTACTGTTGATATGTTAATTTGCAGGGGAATCTACTCTGTTCCTTCATGGCCTTAAGGTAGCAAGAGAAGGGCTAGGAAGCTATCAGATAAAATAAATTAATAGAGATTTAAATGTAAATAGATTAAAATGTTCCACCCCATAACTCGGTCAAATCTCATCTGATTTTCACGAGGTTTGGCCCTTTGTTCATGGTTTGGTAAATTAATCTGCCATATAAACCTGGCAGCATTATTCTGCGTTAAAATTTATGTGAAACTGGTACCCTCATAAATTATGGTATAAATTTATGATAGCCGTAACTAGTACTATTTAAATACTCAAAGGTGTAACGGCTAAGTAGTTATCGGCCATCTCTATTGTTCACCTAAAGTTGTCAAAAGACCTAAGATTTGTTAATTCTACCTTCGATATAAAAATAAAATAAACTATAGAAATTAAAATAGAATGTTATACGGAATCGTAAATATTTGTTGGATTCCGTTAACGGGATTTATTTCATTCTTGATTATTTTATCAGCAATCAACAAATCTGTTGGTGTTCGGAAGGCGTACGTTTCCCTTCTATTAAGGATATTTGAGGTAAATTAACTGAATTATTGCGTTTTCGTTTCATATGAATATATCTAATATATATGTAGATAAATATTTCTATATCAAACTATAACACCTTATTAATTTGTTTCATTGTTATCTTTTTAATTTAAGAAGTTCATAAATATAGCTCGTCCAATTATATCGCCATTATCGAATAGTTTTGTATTAAAAACAGGCATATATGTAAATACAACTGCGTTTAGCATATGAAATTCATTTGTAAGCTCATTTAATTCAACAATCTAACCATGAATTTGGCATCAATTTAATTTCGTAAATTAACTCATGTATGTATGTCATGGCCGTGTTTACTAAGACGGTGAAATTGTGAATTCAATAGTGATGTGGGGTACTCATTCACGCGCCGATCTCATATCAGTATACGCCGGTTAGTCTTTGTCAGTATGCAACTTTCAACGCGTGTATGTGTGCGTTTGTAAGTGCGAAAACGATTCCAATCAGAGATGGGTACATAGCGCATTTCTCCAATAAGCTTTCAAGCTCAGTTTAAATTCGGCAGCAAATTCCGTATTTATAAGGTTTTATGATCAGCATCTATAGCTGAGTCGATGTAGGCATGTGTTTCTGTCTGCCCGTCCGTATGTATGAACGCAAGGATCACAGAATATATATATATATATATATAATTTAAAGCAAAGCTAAAAACTCTTTTTACGTCGACGTAATGCCCATAAACCCATACCATTGCGATTGATTGGTTGATTTTATAGTGTATTTTATAATTACATAATTAGAAACATATATTAACACACTATACATTGAAAGCAATAGCATATAAGATAAGTACATAGTTAATATTGCAGACACACAACTTGTTGATAACAACGACATTAGTCAAGATAAAACTGTCCCCTTCTAGTAGACATAAACAATTTACCATAAAAGTAACGTGCCTGTCAATGTTCCTTTCGGAGCACAATCCCACGTATGATTGCTGACGCAGCTACAGCTCTCTCAAACCGAAGTTAACTAAGCGCCCGTAATATTTTAATTTTAATTTACTTTATGTTTTGTATTTTTAGTATGGCCGTGTCAGCATAGAGTCGGCTTCAAATGAAAATTCGAGAATCCCCGAAAAAAAGAAAGATACCGATCAAAATCTTCGTTTGGAACCAATAAAAGGCGAGGACTCAAACGAAGTATCCAGTGGAGCAGGGCTTATAACCCGAGATGCTGTTCTACTGCCCCAAGCGCAGGAAATTACTAATGATAAGCCCATTTTGGCTGAAAAGGTAATTAAAATCCATAAACAGAGTATTACTAAGTCTGTTAAACCGGACTGAACCTTTTTTTCTTTATAGAATATGAAATTGTTAAACAAAATATTTTCAAAATGATAGAATGAGATATCAAAATGTAGTAACCACTTATTAAATGATTCTTCTTTTATTTTAGGAGGAAATAAATTTCAATTTGGAAAATTGTTTAGATTACGTGAAGTCTGGCGTAGAAGCTATTATCGAAGACGATGTCACCTCACGTTTTCAGGCTGAAGAGCTTAAAAGCTGGAACATGCTGACGCGAACTAACCGACGTTATGAATTTATATCCTGGAAAATAACGCTTATATGGATGGTTGGATTTGCAATTCGATATTTTATATTGATGCCACTTCGCGTCTTAGTGTGCTTTATTGGTGTACGTATACTTATAAACTTAGAAATTTTATTGCATAAATTAAGATTAATGGCAAATATTTTGCTGCTGAATAAGTTTGTGGTTTAAATATTCAACGTAATGATCTTTGGTGGGGCAAAACATTACTTGGTCTGATTACAATTGGTTTAAAATTTGGTATTCGTACCTTTTTTTTTATCAATTTTGAATTCATTTTATTTGCTTGATATTTTATTAGTTAGGTTTAATGACGACAAACTGAATGATAAGACCGAAGAAGAAGTGTGATATATAGTTAAATTAAATTAATTTCACAAGCTAGATTCCTTTCTATAGGTGTTTCGGTTACGGCCCTCTTCCAATTTGTGTAAAGCTGCAGAATATCGCTGCGCAAATTCCCTCGGTGCGCGATGCACTTCGTCAGCTAAGCTCTGCTAGCACGCTCGCAGCGCAATCCCAAATTATCGATGACTCTGTTTCAAGCACTCGATAAAAATCGTTTACGCAATCTTGTTTTTGAACATTTCCCTTGGCTCTAAGAGCTAGATTTAAATTTGATAACCAGCTCTTTGTATAGTATAATTTTAATTCTGATTTCGTTTTGCAAATAAGCGAATGTTCTGTGGTACAGAGATCTTCGAAATATGCTGCAGAAAAATGTATTAGACTCCAAAGCTATTATAGATCTGCGTGGTCAATTTAGTCGCATGAATTTTTGTATACATGTGCACACACATACTTATATGAGTGTATACTTTTTCGTATTCTATAAATATAATTATAATAACGATTATATTG